GCGAGGCAGCAATCTCCGGTGTTTACCTATGCCACCACCTTGGTTTCTCCTGTTGGGAAATCATTTGATAATCTAATGGAAGAGCCCTTGTACGCAACTTTCTGTTTCTCTCTTGCAGGCTTTATGATTCTATCTTTGTCCTGAACATTTGCCGTCGTAATTATGATGTGTCTTGGTGTGGGTCTTTTCGGGTTCATCTTGTTTGGGACTCTCTGTGCTTGTATGACTTTTTTCTTTTCCACATCAGGGAAGTTTTCTTTTCTTTTTTAAAATATATTTTATTGATTTTTTACAGAGAGGAAGGGAGAGGAATAGAGATTTAGAAACATCAATCAGCTGCCTCCTGCGCACCCCCCCACTGGGGATGTGCCTGCAACCAAGGTACATGGCCTTGACCGGAATCGAATCTGGGACTCTTCAGTCCACAGGCCGAAGCTCTAGCCACTGAGCCAAACTGGTCAGGGCCAGGGAAGTTTTCTGACATTATTTCTTCAAATAGGTTTTCTAACCCTTGTTCCTCTTCCTGTTATTCTGGCACCCCTATTATTCGTATGTTGATTTGTTTCATGTTATCCCATAGCTCCCTTAGGCTCTCCTCCTGTCTTTTAATTTTTTGTTTTTCCAATTTCAGTTCAGTGTGGGTGTGTTTTGCTTCCCTGTCTTCTAATTCGCTAATTCGGTCCCCCACTTCTCCTAATCTACTGTTGAAACATTCCATGGTGTTTTTTATTGCAGCTATGTCACTCTTTATTTCTTCTTGATTCTTACATAAGTTATTGATTTTTTTTTCATCCATCCTGTTTCTGAACTGTATCACCCTTATTCTGAATTCTTTTTCTGACATATTGCATGCCTCTGTTCCACTTAGCTGCTTATCTGGTGATGTCTCCTTTTCAGTCCTTTGGGGGTTTCATTGTCTACCCATTTTTTATCTCGCTGACAGATCTAGATGTCAATTCATGCAGGGGGTGTTCCTTGAGTGGCAGTGGCTCCTTGGGCTGCAGTTGTTGACCGGGCCTGCTCAGTTGGCAGTGGCTCCTTTAGTGGGTGCTGTTCGCAGCAGCGGTGGCTCCTCTGGTGGGTGGGGGAGGGCTGCTCGCACAGCTGCTGCTCCTTGGACTGGGGTGGGCCGCTCAAGAGGCTGCTGCTTCTCGGATGGGGGCGGGCTGCGCGTAGCTACTGCTCCTCGGATGGTGGTGGGCTGCTCGTGTGGCTGTTGTACCTCAGACAGGGGTGGACTGCTCACGTAGCTGCTACTCCTTGGGTGGGGGCTGGCTGCGCGTGGCTGCTGCTCCTTGGATGGGGCAAAGATTTTTTTTATATATCCTGTGAAATTTAGAGGTAACTGTAATGATCCAGGTATTTAAGGGTTACAGTGACAATATCTTGTTAGGAATCCTCTTATCAGATGTCTGGATAGCCACAACTACTTTAGCACCCAGCTGGTGGGAGGCTCCCTGGCACCCAGCAACCGCTGCACACTATGGGCGAGGCTAGAGGGTAAAATTCTCGCTGGCCTAGCAATAGCCTCACACTCTGTGCCAGGACTGGCTTATTTGCTGTGGCCACTGTTTGTGGGAGGTGGTTGTCATAAAGACAGAAGTTGTCATGTAGAGTGTGGTGGAGAAATAATCATTTTGCATTAGCAAATACCTTCAAAAGATGAGTGGACATGAGATTAATTGGAGGCCGAAGAGTAATTCAAACAACATGAGTCTAGGGTTGGTACATAACACCTTTTCTAAACTCTCACCAGGATTTTGTTTTGACCCTCAGTGTGGCCTGGCTGTGGGGAGTTGAAATCCGTCTTGTGGATTAGCTTAGAGCAGTGATGGCGAACCTTTTGAGCTCGGCGTGTCAGCATTTTGAAAAACCCTAACTTATCTCTGGTGCCATGTCATATATAGAAATTTTTTGATATTTGCAACCATAGTAAAACAAAGATTTACATTTTTTATATTTATTTTATGTATTTAAATGACATTTAACAAAGAAAAATCAACCAAAAAAAATGAGTTCGCGTGTCTTAGGTTCGCCATCACTCGCTTAGAGGCTTGATTGGTCGTCTGTGAGACGCACTGGGCATGCTGCAGAGGGCCATCAGGGCTGGGACTTGAGTGAAGGTTAAGTGAGGGATGTTGGCTGTGACTAGTGAAGGGACATCAAGTGCAGCACAACAGGAGGTGGGCTATGGATATCTGAGATCTGATTGTTGTTCTTAATAGTTGAGGTTGAAGGGGAAAAAAAACAGTCATGGAGAGAGGCCTACATAGCACCACTCAAGTCTGCCTCTATGAGTGTGGACTAACAGAGTCTGGGCAGTACTTGATCCTGATTCAATTTGACAACCCTCCTCTGGACCACACATGCTGAGTAATAAGGAAAAGGCCATGTGATGAGTATGGTGGTGGGAGCTGTGGAAGTGCAGGTTTAAGAGAGGTGTGGTATAAAGAGTGATGTACACTTGAAGAGGGAGTGTGAATTCATGGCCACAGCACCATGACATTGACATAAGAGTGAATGAAGGAAGAGTCTATTTCTGGTGGTCCCTGGATGGAACAGTAAGGTGAATTTTAGGGTAATTGCCTGGAAAGAGGGGTGTGTGGGTGCTGCATTCTAGGTTAAGAGCTTAGGTGCCATTTAACCACCTGCCTTTTGTTGTTGGGAGTGACACACTGGTTAATGGGAATGACATAGAATTCATCAGTGTTACCCAGGCTTGTAAATCTCCACTGGCATGGGTAAGATAGAAGGGTAAGAGAGAAGTAGATTATGGAGGTGAGGACCTATATTTTTGGAAAAAAGGTGATTAGGAAATAATATATCCACGCCACAGCAAATTTCCACTACCTTTGAAGTTGTGCATCTGGGAAAGAAGCTGTGTGAGAGAAGTGTTGTTCAAAGAACTATGTGCAGCAGATTGTGAAAAGTGGTGGCCTCAGCACCTTGGGATTGGGGTCAAGTGGGTGAAATGTGATGCCATGTTTTTGGTGTCTTAGAGGAACCATCGGAGGGACTACAATGCTAAGTCCTGACAAGAAGAGTATCAAATCACTCACACTGTCTTTATGGGCTACATCCCTCACTAACCTATATTTTGACACCCACTCTATCGATAAAAGGCATTGTGGCATACATGGGAGGTCCAGAGCTCAGGTATCATCTATCTCAGTGATGGCGAACCTATGACACGTGTGTCAGAGGTGACACATGAACTCATTTTTTTGGTTGATTTTTCTTTGTTAAATGGCATTTAAATATATAAAATAAATATCAAAAATATAAGTCTTTGTTTTACTATGGTTGCAAATATAAAAAAATTTCTATATGTGACACGGCACCAGAGTTAAGTTAGGGTTTTTCAAAATGCTGACACGCTGAGCTCAAAATGTTTGCCATCACTTGTCTATCTGCTGAACTGCCTTCATTGTTGTGGGAAGAAAAATATCAGCAGGAAAATAAGAAGACAGTGGCTTTCATGGGATGAAGGCCTGGTATTTTCTCGGATGTGAAGAGTGCAAAGAGCAGATGGGTGTGGACGGTGGGGAATATGACAGAGTTACAATCTTAAGAGTGAATCTGATCATAGGCTGTACTGTTCCCATTATGACAGGATGTGAACTTTGAGGGCGTGGCCATTGCCTTCTCTGAAGAGGAGTGGGTGATCCTAGATGAGGCTCAGAGACTTCTGTACTGTGATGTGATGCTGGAAGTGTTTGCCCTTGTATCATCTGTAGGTAAGACCTTCACATTCTCCCAGTGTCTCGAGGTGATGACCTCTCTTCCTTTATTCCTCAGGCATAGCTTTCTCTCTCCCACAGCCAGAACATTGTCTCTGCTAATTTCCCCCACTGTCCTGTCAAATGTTCTGTGGCTGCCAGGGATGAGCTGAATGGAGAGCCCTGAGCAAAGGACTCCATGAACATCCCTAACACCTGTTACCTCAAAAAGTACAGGAAGTGTCAGGGAGTCAGGAGTCTCACAGTGAGTTTAATAGGTCCCAGGTTGCATTTTCTCGTCATTGAAAGCTGACAGTGTCCACATGCATGGCTTCTACTTCTGCCCTCTTTCTAGCTAAGGGTTCTTTGTGCCACATTATGGTCTTTACCTGCATGAACCATAGGCAGTTCTGGTAAGGCCCTCATTCAAGTGTTTGTAATATTCTCATCCCTGAATCCTATAGCAAACTATGTTGCTCAGGCCCAGTGCGGACTGCTCACTTCTTCATCACCTGTTCCTCTGCACTGGTGCCTCTGCAGTATTCTGCAACATTGACTTGCACATGTGATATTAGGTGCATATATGTGCAAATTATTCCTTCGAAACCAGCTACTCCTTTATTGAATTTTACTTGAAGTAAGACCTAAACAACTTCTTGCACAGCTCGCCCCCATCCCCGGCAAACAATCTGTGCAGAATGCTGTTAGTTGAAGGATGAGCTGGAGATCCATATTCCACTCCATGTGGCGCTTGCCATGTTTGTGTCATATTTCTGGTGAGGCCTCCCTGTGTTGTGGTCTTCATTAGCCAAGAAAGTCACAAGAGCCTCTTATTAATCCTTCCTGCACATCTCTTATTTTCAGACAATTGCATGGAACCAACGTGTGATGTGTAACACACTTTTGCAATGGGACTTCTCCCTGCCATCACATTCAAAATTCATTTCCTCACCATTTCTCACTTTTCAGGTTGTTGGCATAAAATGGAAGATGAGGAGGCCTGTTCTGATCAGCGTGTATGTATACAAGGTGAGTCACAGGTCAGGACTTCTAAGACAGCTCCAGCCACCCATAAGAACCATCTCTGTAAGCAGTGTTTCTCTGTGTTACAACATATTTTGCACCAGACTGGGTTTCATGCAGCAGACTTTGAGCAGAGAGCCTTCTGTAGTGACGCATATGTTGGAGACTTCTGTTTCGGTGCAAACCCTCACCAGCAACAAAAGAATGAATGTGGAGAGGGGCCCTGGAAACAAGCTATGGACAGGGCCTCTTTTGTGAACAGATGCAGCTTCTCCTTATCTTCAAAGCCTTCAACCAGCAGGAAGGTTGGGGAAGACTTGCAGTCCAACTCAGAGCTTCCCCAGCACCAGGCCACTCTCAACACTGAGGAGCTACACTGTGGCAGTGAGATTTCACAGGAATTTCTCAGTGGAAAACGTCATCACCAGTCGGGTGAATGTGAAAACGCTGCCAGCCACAACCTGAAAGTTGTTCAATATCAGGGTGTGTGTGCTGGAGAACTGATTTATGAGTGTAACAAATATAGGAAAGTGTTTAGACGAAACCTTAATGTCGTTCGACATAAGGGAGTTCACACTGGAGAAAAGCAATATGACTGTAATGAATGTGGGAAGTTCTTCAGAAAAAGACCTGCACTCATTAAACACCAGAGAGTTCACACTGGAGAGAAGACATATGCGTGCAGACATTGTGGGAAGTCTTTCAGTTATAAGTCTACCCTCAAACAACACAACAGAGTTCACACAGGAGAAAAGCCATATAAGTGCAGAGAATGTGGGATATCCTTTCGTCAAAAGACCCACCTCACTGAACACCTCAGAGTTCACACTGGAGAGAAACCATATGAGTGCAGACATTGTGGGAAATCCTTCAGTTACAAGTCTAACCTCAAACAACACAACAAAGTCCACACAGGAGAAAAGCCATATAAGTGCAGAGAATGTGGGATGTCCTTTCGTACAAGGGCTCAGCTCACTAGACACCTCCGAGTTCACACTGGAGAGAAGCCGTATGAGTGTAGAGAATGTGGGGTGTCCTTTCGTACAAGGGCTCAGCTCACTATACACCTCAGAGTTCACACTGGAGAGAAGCCATATGAGTGTAGAGAATGTGGGGTGTCCTTTCGTCAAAGGGCTCACCTCACTGAACACCTCAGAGTTCACACTGGGGAGAAGTCATATGAGTGTAGAGATTGTGGGATGTCCTTTCGTACAAAGGCTCAGCTCACTAGACACCACAGAGTTCACACTGGAGAGAAGCCACATGAGTGTAGAGAATGTGGGATGTTCTTTCGTACAAGGGCTCAGCTCACTATACACCTCAGAGTTCACACTGGAGAGAAGCCATATGAGTGTAGAGAATGTGGGGTGTCCTTTCGTCAAAGGGCTCACCTCACTGACCACCTCAGAGTTCACACTGAAGAGAAGCCACATGAGTGTACTGAATGTGGGAAGTCTTTTAGCCAAAAATCTAACCTTAATAAACATCTAAGAGTTCACACTGGAGAGAAGTGTTAAATGTGCAGGGGAATGTTTCATTTTATTCACTTAGAATAACAACACTGAAGGAGACTCATTGCGACCTATTTTCCTGAATTTAAACTTCTTTTAATGGAACATGCACTCTTCTAGATTCCTCATGTTTCCAGTACAGGTGAAGCTTAAAGGAGGTGCATTGCACTTTCTAACATGCCCAGGTCTTCTACCTGATTGATTTGTGGCTGAAGAGATTTTCCCTCTAACACCTGGGTCACCTGAAGAGTGTGTATCAGTCCCAACCCCTGGGTGCTCAGGGGAAATGTATTCTGTGTTGTCACTTGTGCTTGAGAACATTAGGATCCCTCCACTCCTGACAGGATCTTCATTTATCTCCGAGGAGGTAATGCACCTGACCCAGGGTTCATACAGGGCACCTTCCTCAGCTAAGAAGTGCGGCCTCTGTCAGGGACATGTGGTTCTCACATTATGCTGTGATGAATTGTTTCAAATTCTGATTCACCAACCTGCAAACCGCTTTCTGTCCTATTTTCTGGTTTGTGATCTTTAGTAAAGGTATTTTTTCTTTAGTACCTTTAATTTTCTTGGTTATATTCACTCCCAGGGATGATTTTCAAGCACAATTGTGATCTGTCATCATCTAGAGTTAGTAGATATTGTGTGGATCCCAATCTTTCTGTGCTTTAGGAGGGACAGCATAATGCCAGAAAATCACTCTTTGACCAATATTGGCTTATTTTGCATTTTTCCCAAAGCCTTGAAATAAAGACTGCGTGAATGTGTGGTTCTAACTTGCAGGTTTGATCCTGGCCCATATGGAGATGTAGGAGGCATCTAATTTTTTCTTCTCTCTCACATTGATGTCTCTCTCAATCTCTCTCTTCCTCTCCCCCTTCCCTTGCACTCTGTCTAAAAAATCAATGGAAAAATACCCTCAGGTGAGGATTACCAAAAAAATCCAAACATTCACCCTGGTGCTCTGAGATGGGGCCTCTGCCTGCACAGCCCACCTTTGCTCACTCTTTCCTGCCTTTGCCTCAGATGTTCCCACTGCTGCTGAGCATGCTGTGCCCATCCCAGTGTTTTGCAGAGAGGAGGCCCAGGCAAGACCCTGGGAGGGATTTGGGTTCTGTGTCTGCCTGAGATGTGCTGGCTAGGGCTCTTCTGTCTCCATTCAGAGGTCTCTCCAGCCTGCTCCTCCCCACCCGCCAGGCACCTGGCCTGCTGCAAATGAACCTACTTCTGTATCTGGGAGAAGCCCCCTGATGCTATGGGCCCTGAAATCAGTTCACCTTTAGAAAATCATGACTCCCGGTAACCCATTCTCACCCCTGAGACCCACTGGTGTTTACGTCTCTTTTTTTTTTCATTTTAGGGATTATTTTGCACTTTAACTTTATTAAAAATAAAGCACGCCACTCCTCCACCCCCTCACCCAGCCAGTACTGGAGGTAGCATGGATTCTCCAGGATATGGTGGTGTGTATTTTCAATGGTGAGAACATTCTGCAATATAAGCATTTCCAGAAGGAGAGGCTTGATCTCCATATAATTCCACATGCGGAGAATGAGTTGTGGTTGGTGTGTCCCCCCCCCCCCCCCCCCCCCCCCCCCCCCCGAGTTTTGCCTGTGCACATACGACCTGAAATGAGGTGATAGTTCCTGGATTGCTGGGAATAGTGTGCTGCTGGGGTGTGTGGTTGAGGGGGCAGAGAGGTTGGGTGCCTGTGAATGTGTTCCTGCCAGCTCATGGGCCAGGTTCCTTGAGTGAGTGGGCTCCGGGAAAGCTGTAGGGATGAGAACTTGAATCAGGCTGGATGGAGGCTCAGCAGCCATAGGTGGGCATAAGGGACACATATAAAGACTGAGGCCGTGGATACTGTTGAGCTCAACTGTTTCAGACACCCCAAATACAGAGTCCCCTGTCCTTGGGAACTGGCATCTAGTGGAGGACAGTACACAAAGAATGGTCCAGGATACCGGTGAGAGGTAACAGCAGCTGTGGGGGAAGGTGAAACCAGCATTGGTCAGTGGGGTCTTCACTGAGGAAGTCTGGGAAGCTTTGGCAGGCCCCAGGTGAGAGCCTGCAGGGAGCCTGCCGTGTGCATTTGCGAGCTGTACGGTCACTATGGCTGGTTTTAACAGCAAGGTTCAGAAAGTGGTAAAAAATAAAAATAAAATAAATGGTGGCCAAATAGGCTGATATATTGTGCATCTCGTCCTGAGCCAGACTGGAAATACAACTAAATCAAAGAACACCCACTTGTTATTAACAAATTACATGCAGCTGAGCAGACCATTTACAATAAGGAAAGATGCCCAGGGAATGGCAAGAACTGGGAAGTGGACTTGACAGACACAGAATGAGGTGCCGTAAGAACTGACCCCACAGAAATACAAAGGGCTGTAAGAAAATACTATGACGGACATTATTCCAACAAACAGGACAACCTGGACAAAAAGCCCATATTCTTAGAAAAATACAGCCTTCCAAAACTCATTCAGGAAGAATCAGAAAACCTGAAAAGACCAATAACTACTAACGAAATTGAAGCAGTAATTAAAACAAAACAAAAAACACCCAGCAAACAAAAGGTCTGGTCCAGATGGCTTACCTAAACAGTTTTACCAAACATTCAAAGAAATAACAACTATACCCCTCATACCATTCCAACAAATCCAAGAGGATATAACTCTTCCAACCTCATTTTACAAAGCCAGCATTATCCTAATTCCAAAACCAGATAAAGACATGGCAAAGAAAAAGAACTACAGACCAATATTCCTGATGAACCTAGACACTAAAATCCTTGACAAGATTTTAGCAAACCAGGTCCAGCGATACAATAAAGACATCAAACATCATGACCAAGTGGGATTTATTCTGGGGATGCAAGGCTGGTACAATATTTGCAAATCAATAAGTGTGATACAGCACCATAGATTGCGAGACAAAAAAAAAATTGCAAAAAAAATCACATGATCATATCAATGGATGCAGAAAAAGCATTAGACAAAATCCAACACCCCTTTTTTTATATATAAAAACTCTCAGCAAAGTGGGAATTGAGGTAACATACCTCAACATAACCAAGGCCATATATGACAAACCTTTAGCCAACATCCTACTTAATGGGCAAAAATTAAAACCATTTCCCCTATGAATAGGAACAAGACAGAATATCCGCCTTCACACTCTTGTTCAAAATTGTACTGGAATTACTGGCCATAGTGATCAGACAAGAAGAAGAAATAAAAGGCATCCAAATTAGAAAGGAGGAAGTAAAACTCTCATTCACAGATGACATGATATTGTACCTAAAGACTCAATAAAAAAAAACAAAACACTACTAGATATAATAAATGAATTCACAAACATAGTAGGATTCAAAATTAGCAACCAGAAATCCATGTCATTTTTATACAACAATTGTGAACTCTCAGAAATAGAAACATACACACACACACAATCCCATTAACCATTGCAACAAAAAATTAAGATATTTAGAAATAAACCTAACCAAGGAGGTAAAAGACCTGTGCTCCAAAAAATAGAGGACATTGGAAATAGAGATAGAGATCAACCAAAGGACTTGTATGCATGCATATAAGCATAAGCAATGGAAACAGACACTGGGGTATAAGGGCATGAGTGAGAGGATGGGGGACAATGGAGGGATAAGGACACATTTTTAATACCTTAATGAGAAAAAAAAAGAAAACAATAAAATAGAGATAGAGGAAGATATAAACAAGTGGGAAAATATACTGTGTTCAAGGATTTGCAGAATCAACATCATTAAAATGTCCCAATTATGCCAAGCAGTCTACAGATTCAGTGCCATCCCTATTAAAACACCAGAGCCATATTTCACAGACCTAGAATAAACACTCCAAAAATTTACATGGCACCAAAAAAGACCCCCAAAAGCTGCAGCAATCTTGAGAAAGAAGAACAAAATCAGAGGAATCACAATAGCAGTTAACAAGTTATACTACAAAGCCACTGTAATCAAAACAGCCTGGTACTGCCACAAGAACAGGCATGTCGTTCAATGGAACAGAATAGAGAACCCAGAAATTGACCCAAGTCACTGTGCTCAATTTTTGACAAGGGAGGCAAGAGCATACAATTTAGACAAGATAGTCTCTTTTATTATTGTGGTAAAATTGGACAGGTACATGCAAAAAGATTAAACTAGACCACCAACTTACACCATACACAAGAAAAAACTCAAAATGATGAAAAGTCTTAAATGTAAGACATGAAATAAAAAAAAAAGTCCTAAAAGAAACCATAGGCCATAAATCTCAGACCTATCTCTCATAGCAATATGTTTACTGATACATTTCCTAGGATAGTGATGGCGAACCTATGACACGCGAACTCATTTTTTTGGTTGATTTTTCTTTGTTAAATGGCGTTTTAATATATAAAATAAATATCAAAAATATAAGTCTTTGTTTTACTATGGTTGCAAATATCACATTTCTATATGTGACATGGCACCAGAGATAAGTTAGGGTTTTTCAAAATGCTGACATGCCGAGCTCAAAAGGTTCACCATCACTGTCCAGACAAAAGGGTAGTGAGGGCCTGGTTGGCAGGGGGTGGGGGCAGGAGCAGGCTGGAAGAGGTTGATGGGGAAAAAGGTAGACCTATGCAATACTTTCAACAATAAAGTTTTAAAAATAATAAAATCTAAACTAATAAAAGAGTAATATGCTAATTAGACTGGATGTCTTCCGGACATCCTTCTGGACAAAGCCACAGTGTCAGGGGCTGAGGCAGAGGCGGTTAGGAGCGATCAGGTAGGCAGAGGAGCAGTTAGGGTGCAATCAGGCTGGCAGGGGAACATTTGGGGGCATCAGACAGGCAGGCAGAATGGTTAGGGTTGAGCAGGCAGGCAGGCAGAGGGGTTAGGGGCGATCAGGCAGGCAGGCAGGTGAGTGGTTAGGAGCCAGAGGTCCTGGATTGCAAGGGGGATGTCTGAATGCCGGTTTAGGCCCAATCCTAAACCAGCAGTTGGACATCCCTTCAGGGTCCCGGATTGTAGAGGGTGCAGGCTGGGCTGAGGGACACACCCTGCCCACCCCCCATACATGAATTTCATGCACCGGGCCTCTAGTAAGAAATAAAGAGATTTAATATTAAGCATTTCATTTTAAAAATTAAGAACTGTGAACACGTTAAAACTTTTAGGCCCTATGTGTGTAGTGTGTGGTGTGGAGATGGGAAGGGGAACAGGGTCTAAGGGGGATGCATTTGAACTTAAAGGGTTAGAGGGTGTTAATGTGCTAGCTTTTCTCCAAGGTCGTAAAGGTGATCTTCCAATTAAAAAAAAAAGAAATTTGATAGACAGTCCTCAGATTTTGTCGGACTCAACATACATCGTCTCGTGGTTACATCGCTATCTCCCATTTATTTATAAATATAAAAAAAGTTCCATCATTTGGACGTATGTACATATGTGCTTTATTTTTTTTTTACTTATTTACCACAAGTAAAGGTCAGGAATTGTTATCTTTTAATTTTTTTTCTTTACTGTTTCACTTCGTTACTGCTGTGTATGTGCTCCATGTGAGTGACATAGGTGCTTATGTAGGAGGGTTCCAACTTACTGCGAAAATCGCGTTATGTCGGCCATAGGAACGGATCTCAGCCATTACCCGAGGACCTAATGTAGTACCACAAGTCTAGAATTTAATATACAATGAATAGAAGAAATCAAACCACCAAGAAACTATTTTTAAAGAATGGTCCCTGTGGTTGAGCATTGACCTATGTGCCA